ATCAAACAGAAAGCTTAATAAAATATGATCTTAAGCAAAGAAACTTTATCTTTTACACTGACGATAAAAATCAAAACTAACCAGCAAGCATTCCCTTATACACTTCTCAAAGAAAAAATTATGGTATTCAATAACCTGTTTCACAGAAGGAGTCAAAAGTATTAGGCAAAACACAAAAAGAGAATTTGATGGTTTGAAGCTTTGTCAGTCTATTAATTGAGACAAATATAGAAACAAAGTTCTATTTATTTTTTGGTTGTATGAAATTGAATAACTATATGATACATCAAAACCAGTAAGGGAGTGCATATATACATCATCTATGCTCTTTGCAGTTTGTAGTCTGTTATGCATCACATGCCAGTTGGGTTCAAGAACCTGAAAACACAACGTATTGTATGATCATACGAGAAAACATAATATCTCTAAGGACCTCAAAATTCCTTGAAGAAATATTTTAGATTAGTTATGCAAAGTTCCCACTCTCTGACAAACAAATACAAATTAGAAGTGGATAAGAGACATTAAATCTATTTGCTTCAGGTGCAGTAATTCATAATTGCTATCATTCCTGCAAGAAAAAATATATTTAAAAAATAAAAATGAGGAGAAGAAGAGGGGTAAAACATGCCTCAAATGTTAGATAGTGTAGAAGGCTATTAATAAATTTAAGCATACTACGACATAGCACAGATGACCAAGAGATTGCAGTTCCTTTTGTGTCAACAGCGCACACACCCTACAATCAGGTGGCAGTAAAATTAGACAAACAAAAGGAGCCAACATTCACAAATTATGGAACAGATTTCTGCTCCATACTTGATGTATTTGCCATGCCCCACAAAGCTGGCGATCCACATGTTTACAATGAAACAGGAAGCGGAATATCAGCTGATATTTTGTTAAGGCTTTTCTTGATATAACAAGGGACAATGGCCATTGAACCTGAAACATGAAATAAACATCAATGAACTTATTGATGACAACCACCTACTACAGACCAGAACACATCCTGCTAAGAGCAGGTGCCATGCTGATGCTGACACAATTTCTCACTCAAACATGTTCTCACCAAGATCAGCAACAATCTCAGCTACTACTAGATACTCAATTCAACATGCCTTTATTTCAATTACTTGGGGTAGCAGGGTACTTGGATCCATTTCCTCGAATTGATTCTATTCAAAGTCATACTCTCAATTTAATTTAACGTAATCTTGTCATTTCTTATCACCTAAGCGCATGTTCTCCTTGGCCTTCCTCTATTTCTTTTGTCATCTCCACATGGATCAAATCACTCCTCCTTACAGGCACATTAATTGGTCTATGATGCACATGACCATACCTCCTCAAATGGTGTTCCCTCGTTGCACCTTCAATTAGTCACTTCAAACTTCCTTCCCTATGGATTCATTTCTTCTTTTATCTTTCCTTGCTAGTCGTAACACCATTCATTCATCTCAACATAGAAACAGGAAACAAGCTTCATTTCAAATGGTATGAACAAGGAGAATCTAGGGCAAAGATAACCCACACAAAGAGACAACCAACACAACCTATCCATTAAATACATTTGACAAGCAGGGCTGAACAAAATACTTGGTAATTTTGTTACATTCACGATAGGAGATTAACATTGCAGTAATGTTACATATCTGCAAAGCCAAAAGAGCATTGTCTTTGAGAAGATTCAAGAAAAAGCAGAGACCTTATAACTCAAAGAAAATGTTTCCAGGCCAGTAATGCACACTGGTTCCTCTAAATCACTACTATCAGAAACAGCCCGATTGATTTGAAGATCTTTGAGCATGCTCAAACTTTTTATCAAAGTAGATCTTTCCTGAAAGCAAAATGATAAATTCATGAAATAAGAATAGGATATTCAACTTCATATCATAGTCATATTAGTACGTGGAGAATCAGCCACTAACCACACAACATATTAAGTCCTCATGGCAAGGATCTGCTGCAGCTGCTGTGGTGCGCAAAGCAAGGTCTAGCAGAGACTATTAAAGGAATCATATATTAAAAAAAATGCATGTAAATCAAGGAAAGAATACACAATTAGCCACAAAATGAAAGAAAAATAACCAAACCTGCAACTTCTCAACAGAAATCTCATCGGGCTTCTTCAAGAGCTCATCTCGAGCTATATCCATAAAATGAACCAAGAAATCACCCTGTTGGGCCAATCATAACAACATAGAATTGAGTTCCAGAATGCCATGGCCTAAACCCTAAATCAATTTCCCATAATAGAAACTATGAATGCCTCTTATCTATAATCTTTAGGATCGCAGTTCCTAAAGGTGTGCATGTTTGGGGAACTTCTATTCCACAAATCATTTCCTCTCAGTGTACTCCTTTTTTTTTTTGGTTCAGAAATCAACTTCCGGATAAAACTATTTGGTTCGAAAATCAACTTTTAAACAAAACTATTTGGTTCGGCTGTATCTTTGGTTCAGAAGTTGATTTCCGAACAAAACTAATTGGAAATCAACTTCTGAATCAAATATTCATAAATAAGTTGTGAACTGAGATAATGTGATGTGTGGAAATAGAAGCTCCCGCATTGATCACAAAAAATTAGACCAATGCCTTTGACCATATAGTCTGCAAATAAAGCATATCAGCTCTTGGCCCCAAAGTCCCCTTAAAAGGACCCACTAAATTATCATTTACAATTTATGTGTGTACGCCTCTAATGATCCTATCATCTTCCTCTAGCCACCATCTTCCCAGATATTCACGACCAACCGCCACACTACACATACCTACACCTAGCACCTCCAAAATTAAATGGGTTCTCATAACCTATTATTCACAAGTAGACTAAGCCCACTTCCCATCTAAACCCAGAGAGAGCGAGAAGAACAAGCTCATTTTTTCCAAATTTTACTCAATAATTCATCACATGGGACTTCTACTTATTAGTTCACTGACATACAAACCTGATCAAGAAGAAGATAGTGTTTTATAGACCGCAATTTTCCCATTAGGTCATACTACACAAACAAACAAACAAACAAAGAAAAACACACACTATTAATGACATTGATATGAATAGAAACAAAAACAATTATGAGGAAAATGTGCAAGTATGTTTAGTTGAATAAACTGTACCACACCTTTTCTTTTATAAGATTTAGGAGCTCACCACTGGCAAACTCATAAGCAGCTTTTATACACTCAAGATAATGATGATTTGCACCAAAGCTCATCAACTTTGAATTTTCTGACACAGAGACCTGCCAAAATAATTAGCTAGGCAAGCGGTTGAATTAACATCAGCAGATAAAGATCAACAAACAATTTTGGAAAAAGAAAAAAAAAATGAGTGAACTATAAAGCAACAACATAATCATAACAAAACTTGCACATTGTGCCCACATTCTCTCATCACATTGAAATATTTTCCTGTTGTCAAGATTGTTCCAGCAGCATTTTCTAGGAAGCTAGGAATATCCTCCAGACTGTAACGTTCTCGCCAACACTTTGCATCATAATCTTGAGTGAGACTCTCCTATTGAAAATAAAAAGAGGTAAGCATCTAAACCACAATTCCAATGCACTTGCATAAACCAATAAAGTAATACCTTTGGGAGAGATTTGCTCTCAGCAATAAAAAGTTCACCATAAGGATCATTAATCACCCCTTCATACACCCACCTAAATATATGAAATAAATTTTAGATTGAGTCATAAAATCAATGAGAGTGAGTTTATAGAGGATGAGAATATAACATCAACTACAGCAAATAAGATGCTAAGGCAATGCTAACAACTGAGAAAGATACATATCAACAAATACCTAAATACTAATAATCTGCAGCATGTGCCAACTTACTATAATGTAAACATTGAAATTAAAATATTTACTATTTCCTTTTTAGCAAAAACTTAAGACTTCCTTATTCAATGATAATTATTTGCTAATTTACATTTTAAAATACCATTCCTCAAATTAATGGATAGACAATAGTTACTTAGAATAACATAAAACAGTATTTTTTGCAAAGTTATATTATAAGGTGATGGTCAATGTGAAGAGTATTCAGGAACAATAATCTACATGCTTGGGAAGAAGATGAGTTATTAAAACTCATTGATTTTTTGGGAACAGGGCCTAGGATAGGCATGGAGCATGAGGAATTTGTGAAATGGAAGGCTGATCAAGCAGGTGGGTTCGAGGTTAGCAGTGCCTATAAATGGTGTGATATGGATTTTGGTTTTGTTTACAGCTCTGCTGGACTGATATGGAACAACTCATCTACACCTAAAGCCAAATTCATTACTTGGTTGGACTGGAAGGGTAGACTTGAAACAAAGGCTTTCCTGCACAGAATTGGAGTATTGAGGGGGGAATGTGGATTTATCTTGTGTGTTCTGTAAATCTGAATTGGAATCTTCCAATCATATTTTATTGTTTTCCATTTCACAAATGGTGTGATATGGATTTTGGTTTTGTTTACAGCTCTGCTGGACTGATATGGAACAAGTTATCTACACCTAAAGCCAAATTCATTACTTGGTTGGACTGGAAGGGTAGACTTAAAACAAAGGCTTTCCTGCACAGAATTGGAGTATTGAGGGGGGAATGTGGATTTATCTTGTGTGTTCTGTAAATCTGAATTGGAATCTTCCAATCATATTTTATTGCTCTGCCCTTTTGTGTGGCATGTGTGGGCAGTGTTGTGAAAGGCGCGCCTAGGCGCAAGGCACATCCAGGCGCAACTTCGGCGACCGAAGAGGCCCAAGGTGAGGCGAGGTAGATAAGTCGCGTGCCTTGGCCGAGCCTTGAGCCAGGCGCGAACAGGCGCAAGGCGACGCTTAAGCGTGCCTTTTTTTTTTTTTTTTTATTTTTGCCCCTGATGCTTATCGATGGCTCTGATATGAGTTTGAATGGGTCCAACACATACGATTGCAACTCATACAACACATACGAGAGTCGAAGCCCTAAAATTTTTCAGTGTCGTCTCTTCTCTTCGCGCAGTCTGCAACTCAATACAATTGCGACGTCGTCTTTGATTGAAGACTTTGACTTCGACTTCGACTTCGGCGTCGGCGTCGGCTACGGCTACAGGTTAGTCTTCTTCTTCTTCTTCTTCTTCTTCTTCTTCTTCTTCTGCCTGCTGTCGTCTCGTCTCGTCTCTGTCTTCTTCTCTTTTTTTTTCTTTTTTTTTTTTCTGCTTCTTCATCGATGTATTTCCCTTCTTCTCCTTCGTCTCTCGTCTTCTCAACTTCGACGACTTGACCTCCCTTCGACTTCAATCGCTCTCTCTATCTCTCTCGCCTTCGCCTCTCGCGATCTCTCTCTCTCTTCTCTCTTTCTCTCTCTCGGCTTCTCTCTGTATAATATATATCTTATATAATATATATTTTTGTATAATATGGATTATCAAATATTATACTCAAATATTATATTATACTCAAATATTATCAAATAATATATATTTATACATATTAATAAAAAAACACAAATATATGTACGTAAAATCAAAATAAATTATATTATACTGAAATTATAAATTATTTTACGTTGTTGGTAAAATATAAATTATTTGTAATTATATTAGACTGAAATTACAAATTATATTACACTGGTGGTCAGTTTTTTTCCTTTCTCTGTTAGGAAAAAAAATTACAAATAATTAATTAATCACATAGTACATTACACTGAAATTACAAATTATTTTCAATTTATTTTCCACACCCTTTGTCTTGATTACTTTTATTTTAAATAAAAATTGTCTTAATACTGTGAATGATCAGTCTATGTTAATTTATTTATTTTTTACTAAGATTGTGCGCCTTGCTTCAATAAAGCCCGCGCCTCGCCTTGCGCCTAGGCCCCAAGAGACCTTCAGCGCCTTAGTACGCCTTGAGCCTTTAAAAACACTGTGTGTGGATATGCATGATAGAGTGGTGGGCCTGGAGTGGGTAACACCAGGTTCAGTTGAGTGCCTATTGCAATGGTGGTTGAGTTAACGAGCGTATTTTTTGCTGATAAGCATCCATATTTGGTAAAGTTATGTGAGACAATTAAGGTAAGATTAACACTTTGGTGGAAATCACATAATATTGGGTGCTCATACTCTGGTAATAATATTGTGAGTAATATACAATTGGTGAAAAAGAAGCATCTAAAATCATATGGGGTGAGCTGCTATTTGGTGGGTTGGTTTAAGTTTTTATTCTTTTTTAGAAGCACTATGTAAGCTTTATTTCGTGGTCTTTGTAGTTGTTGGTTTCTCACCAATGGATGATGGCATGCTAGCATATGATTAGGTGGGCTTCTTGGTGAGTGGTTCCACTATGATGCTCTTTGCACTCATCTATTTTAATGAAGTAAGAATTTCATATTTCCATCAATAAAGAGTTCTTTTTGCTAATAAAAATAAATAAATAAAAAAGAAAAATAAGAAGAAGAAGAATTTGTCTCTACAAATTTATTAGAAAAACAATGTGTGGTTCGGATTCAACTCTTCTATAGTGGATTATCTACCTAGAATGATTCTAGAAAAAAATATTCATTTTTCTATGAAAATTTCTGGGTACCAAGTATTCCCCAAATTGAAATATCAATGGCAAAGATAACACAATTAAAACAAAATTAATATAATATTAAATAACTGAGCAACCAAAATATAATTCTATACAAAATTGGCATCAAGGAAGATATTTACTAAAAGAAAAAGAATAAATGATTTTACCACAAAACAATTCATATATATATATATACGAGGGAATAAGCAAAGCAAAAGTGCTGGAACATTTTTGCTTTTGTTATCTACTACACAGATAAACACAGATGCAAACATCAGTAAATGTAAATACTCATATCAATCAACCAATAGCCAAAGTCAAGAACAAGAATTAAATAACCTTACAAAAACATAGAATGCCAAATCTGTAACAATAAATAGACTAGATCAATAATAACAAACAAAATTGTACAAGAAATAATAATTTATTTTTAAAAATATATAACATAAAATATAAATAAATCAACACTCTGCATACCCACAAGTTTCTCAATCTTTTTCTTTCTTTGCCTTTAAAAAGAAATATTTAACACAAAAGTTCCCAAGTCCTCTTTTCTTTTTTTTTTAAATACGGAAAAAATTTAGAACATATATATTCTACACATAAAATAGTTTTTGCACAACAGATTATCCAGATATAGAAACAGAAAGAACATTCCTCAATAAAGAAGCAATTTAAAGAAATTAAAAATAAAAACATACAATTTTGTTTTCTAAAATAATACTCAAAAACATAAAACATTCTATACATACATAAAACACAAAACAAAATACAAAAGAACACAACTTACACTTCTAAGAATATCGAGATTAACCTACCCACACAAATACATTCAAAAACACAAAATTAAAGAAAACATTTTCAGTCATTATTGATTTGGAGTATTTGTTTTCTTAAGGGTGTTTCGGTTTCTTCAAGTGTCCTACTATTAGTCATGTAGCCTATAAATAGGGTGATGTAATTTCATTTGTAGTGTAATTGAAGAATATTGACATTGATTAGAACAAAGTGTCCTAGTTCTCTTTCTACCACCTTCTCGCTCTCTTGGATTGTTAATTTTCTTCTCTCTTGTTTCATGATATTCTTTCTTGGGTCTAGGTGAATAACAAATAAATTTATTCAATATTAAAACCCAAACCAATATATAACTTTAGAATACAACAGAAGAAGTAGAAGAAGAAGATGAGTAGAGACTGATGAATTTTGCATTCGGGCAGTGCATCAAACAGTTGGAGGCCGAAAGATGTAACAAGAAGAACAAATTCATGACAAAGAGCAAAAGTATAAAAAGTAAAAATCAAAAACCACGAATCCAATTCAATGTGAGGACAAACCAAACTTGAAGACAAAGAGCCAAGAGAGTTCTCAATCAAGCAACAATAGGCTAATGAAATTAAGAATCGGATTGCACAACTAACGGCATACGGAAGTTGAGGAAGGGCATACCTCGTATGTTTCTTGAACTAGATTGACAGCAATTTGCATCAAGGCAACAATTACACCTCTTATAAAATAGAAGAACTTGCAAAGGAAAACTCAAGAGAGAGCTGCAGTAGGTCAGGTGGCGAGAGGTGAAGGGCAGCTTGTTTGAGAAGCATCCTCTTCTACCAAGCTTGCTGAAGATGCCCCAACAATGCATATCTTGTGAGGCAATCTTCATTAGGGGTGAATTTGGCATCTAACCTATTAGACACACTGATGTTAGAGGCACATTTTGCTGCTTTTATAGATTGTTATAGATATACATATATGCATACGTATAAAAACACAATTAAAAGAAACCTAATTTAAAAAATTTAAATAAAATTCAGATTGTGGTTCTTCTCAAAATAAAAACCAAATTTATAAAACAACCTTCAATTTCACAAACATTGTAGAATACAAATAGCCACATAGAAATAGCCCTCAAACCATCAAAACATATTCAATTCATTGCCTTTATTAGTAAATTTTTGTATGGGCATGTTTTTTTTTTTTTTTTTTTGTTGAAATGGCATGGGCATGAATTAATTCCCTATAATTAACAACTCTTTCTCAGCTTCTCTGCAAGCTTAATTAATTCCAAGGCAATGTTCTATCAACATTCCTTGAAAAGAAAAGAAGTGAGAATCATTGCCTTGTATCCCACAAGATTTCAAGCAATTCAAATTTGCCAACATAAGAGTACGTAGATGATATTTGTTTAGATTAGGTTAAGTTAGGCTTAGGGTTAGGGTTTTGAAACTTTTAAGGGTTTTATTTGTTACTCCTCACTTTTCATTCTTTATTCTTCCATGTTGAGAGAGTTTATAAACTAATTTTAGATACAGAATCAGAAATCAAAAATCCATTGGATATGGAGACACAAAACCATAGTTGAAAATTTTGAATGGCTTTAAAATTATTTGGTAACACTAATTCAAAATCAGATTGTATACCCTGAATCATGGCGCAACAATTAAATACAGATTCTAGGAACCCTTGACCAAAAAAATAAAAAATAAAATAACTAAAAATCGAAAGAAATACAAAGCAGATAGACATCAGTTAAGAAATTGGGAGAAAGAAGCAGATGGGGAATGTGATACAGAGAAAGAGCAGACGAACCTACCGAACCAGAATGAAGCGGCAATGGTCACAGCAACGGCGAACGACGAAAACCCGACGGTCTACGAATGTCTGTGCGGGGGTGCGATTGTGAGAGAGAGAGAAGTACAAATCGTAAGAGAACGGCTATGCATCGTGGAGAGAGATGAGGGGTTTTACCTACCAACAAATAAAGAGAGGTGATTCTGAGTCGCATGAAGATAGAAGATGCAGACCGAGAGAGAGAGAGAGAGCTTAGTGTGACAGAGGGAAAAAGAAAAATCAGAGGCACGAAAAATTTGATGAAGATTTTGGGCACAAGGGTTTTAGTAGGGCGTGTAAAATACCGCTCAATTCGTTAAAATTGTATTAATTTATATTAATTTGTATCGTTTTAATTGTTAATTGTGGTTTAAATTTTAAAATTTATAATCGGTTAACCAAATCGTTCCGTTCCGTTATAGTTAATACATATATATTTTTTAACTTTTAATGAAATATTAATGTAAAAATAAGTGTGAGAGAAATTTAAGATATGAAATTTATTACAAATTAGTGGTTATATATATGAAACATATTATGTAAAAAAAATTTGTGTTATATATCTAAAAATATTATACAAATTAGTGTTATATATTATGCAAATGTATGATAATTAGTTAAAATGTTCTTCAATCCACCAATCCGCCAAAAACTGCCCAAACAGCAATTTGTCAATCTGCTAATTCGCTAATTCGCCATTCAGTTTGTAATTTTACTATTCAGCCGCCCGAATCGCATCGCGCACACCTCTAGATTTTAAAAGGAGCATTTTTTTTGGGAGGGAGGGTCTATTAGCGGCAGCACAACAAAGGCTATAGAAAAATAAATAAATAAATAAAATAATTATGTGCGATGGTAAGAGAAAGTCGTTACAAAAAATGGGCCTTTCTTGACAACTAATGACCTATCATCGCAAAAGCCATCCATCATATCCTTCTCTCTTTATGAAACAATAATTTTGGTCACAAAAAGCAATCATTGGCGACAAGATATTAACTGTTGCAAAAAATTACTTTTTGTGACGGAAAAGTGTGCCATCGCAAAAGGTTTCGTGTCTTATACTCCTTTTTCTTGTAGTGTGCCCTTCTAACAGGACTTTTAGAAACTCATAAATCTAATCAATATCTTAGAAATTAAATTACATACACATTTAGTCACATAAATATGTTATCACGTAGCATACTGCAAATACAAATATCTATATCAAGCGAGATAAATCCATTATGGTAAGAACCACTCCTCATATACCCAAAGTATTTAAACCCGGTATGTTCTGATACTAACGCCCTGAAATGGTAATCATAATACAACCCAAGACTATTAATGAATAATCGTAAATTTCTAAATAAAATACTCTTCCATTCAAGGTAACACATGCAATTATACATTCATAAGCCCTAAGCTTGAATCTATAGCATATGTTATAAGCAAAGATTTGAAGTAAGAGTAAAACAAATAAAAGAAAAATGCCCTGTTGGCTATATCTTTCCAAGGCAATACTTGGTCACAATAAAAATGGATTTAAATCCAATACAGTTTAAGCTCTTGGTTTGTACAAAAATAAATGCAACAGTTAACACAAAAAGAAGCCTTTAACTCCAAGTTCCTCCCAAGCTATGTTCTTGGCAGAGGTATATCATCAACACCTAAAAATGGTTTTCCCATATAGGGTAAGTCAAAAACCAGTAGAGATATTACAACATAGTTTATGAATCTTAACAAAGATATAAGGAGAATGCATATGCAATGCTTGTGCTAAAACATTTTCATTTCTCTTTCCAAACCGTGCAATGCTAAGTTTATATCTCAAATCATACTATCATTTTCTTTACAATAGAAAACAGGACAATGAATACAACACTGTGAATCTCTAAGACATGTCTGCAAGTAGGCTACAAGCACTACCAAATTGTCATTTTTACCGGTATTAACCAGAAGGCTCAACACTTAACCGAGCGGGTTTCTGGACTTTCACCAAGGACACATAAACCAACTTAATACCACCACTACACTCCTACCCAGATTCACTAAGGCATTTAACCATTTTTCTCAAAACAATAACATTTTCAATGTGTTAATTATGCAACAATGCTCGATGCAATGGATGAGAAAATAGTTTCAATTCTCCTAATTCTCATGCAATTTCTACAATAATCATAGCTATCTTCCACCGGTGGCCCAAAACAGATATCTCTAAACAGATAAATAATTTTCATAAAGATAAACTTTCTAAATTCCAAGATATTAGTAGTAATACATACCCAACTCCACCATCCTTATCAATTTCAATCCAATTTCACATTTCCAACATTAATTCCAATTATTTATAAAAAAAATCAACATTTGATATATTTAAGGAAAAATCCTCATTTCTTCCAAAATCAATTTCAAGTATCATATAGCGATCCTGATGTAGACCCGACCCATTTATTACTTTTGAATCCGAGAAACCATATTCATGATGGTCGTTCCTTTCTTTTTATATTTGGTTTTGGCTTCAGGGGTCGACACCATCCTTGTTGGTGTTGACACTACCTTATTTTCTTTGTCTTATTCCGCTCCTAGGGTCGACACTAGCTTTGGAGGTGTCAACACCATCTTACTGCTATGTTCTTGGAATAGTTACTAAAATTTAGGGTCGACAGTAGCCTTGGTGGTGTCAACGCTTGTCTTTTGTTATTGACCTCATGTGTCGACATCAATTTGGGAAGGGTCGACCCTTGTTTACTGTAGAATCTGGGTTTAGTTGCTAAAATTTAGTGTCGACACCTATAGTTTAAGGGTCGACACCTTGTTTGCTACCAGCATTGTCAATTCTTCCTGAAGGGTCGACACCACTAACATAAGGGTCGACCCTTGTGAGTTTCTTTCTAGAATTTAGTTCGATTTTGGGCCCTACTTCCTGGGGATTTTGACTTATTCTTTTGGGTTGACTTTGGGACTTTATTTCACTTTAACCTAGCACTATAAATAAGACCCACACTTACTATTTTCTTCACTTTATCTTCTTTTTCCCCATTCTAAACCTTGAGTCACTCTTCTCTCTCTCTCTTTCTAAGCTCACTTTTTTCGCTCAAAGATCTTCATATCTACTCACTTAGAAGCATCTCCTCACCTTTCTCCTTTGAAATTAAGTGTAGAGCTTGTCGAGGGTTTCGTTTTGATCAGAGCAAATCATTGTTTTATCACTGTCAACTTTTGGACTTTTCTTTCTTCTTCCTCTTCTAAGTTGAGGTAGGGATTCTCCACACCCTTTTATGAGTTTTAACTTAGTTTTTTGATATTTCTAAAATAGTATTGTGATTTTTGGAGATTTTGGGCAAATCTAGGGTTTTGGGTTGGAAATCAAAGAGGGATTTTCAAATGGTTTGTTGGAAATACTTGTAGAAAGGTGTTTATTGTTGATATATGATGAAGTGATGGGTTTTTACGTTTGGAAATGATTTGTAAATAAAACAGGAATTTTGCCCTAGAAATCTCAAATGTTGATCTTGTACAGATAATGTAAATGATGTTGGGTTTATGTAATTGGAATGATGTTTTTCTATACTCAAAAATGATTTTGAAAGAAAACGAGGTTTTTTTTTAAAACCATGGGTTTGACTTGTGTTGGAAAAAATTGAAGGATGATGTTGGTTTTGTAATATCGCTCACGTCTTGATGATTGTGATGGAGGATAGTGATGATGATAGTGGAATTGGATATGTTATATCGCTCACATCTTGGAAATGATAATAATGTATATTGTTATTGAAATTTTCTATTTATTACAGATATCTGTTTTGGGCTATCGGATGAGGATAGCTATGAGTGTTGTAGAAATTGCATGAGAATTAGGTAAACTAAAACTAATTGCTCATCTATGTGCATTGAATATTGTTTCTTATTTAATACATTGAAAATGTATTTGATTTTGAGAAAAAGGAGAAAACGTGGAAAAGAAGTGTGTATCACCAAATCAAGTTGGCTTGTGTATCCAAAGTGAAAGTCCCGAAAAACGTGCGCATACACGGGTGTTGATTCCCGCAAATGAAATATCCGCGAAATAGCAATAGTAGCGCTTGCATAGGCTACGTTTACATGGGTGCCATTTGACAGTTTTCTACAGACAAAATATGCATGAAATGATGTACTGGTTTGAGATTTACCCCTTGTTTTCTATTGTAAAGTGCATGTTTGGAGAAGAATTGTGATATAAATTGGGCATGGCATTATTTTCGGACAAAAATGTAAAACATTTTGACATGGGCATTGCATATGCATAACTCCTTATGGTTTTGTTAAGATTTATACAGTGTGTTGTAGTGTTTCTACTGGACTTTGGCTCACCCTATATAGGAAAACCATTTTCAGGTACGGGTGATATGTCTTTACCAAGGACTTAGCTTGGGAGGACTATGGAACTGAAGGTTCAGTTTTGTTATTTTGTATTTAATTTTGTACAATCTAGGGCTTTATTTGTATTAAGCTTAAGACTCACTTTTGATGTACCCAAGCACTGACTTGGAAAGATGTAGGCCCTTAGGGCATCTAATTATCTATTTATCTTTCACTTATTTTTACTATCTCGTATCACATGCTTTAGATTCAAGATGTACTGTTGATTAATGTATATCACATGTGTCATTTTTGTATATCAAACTCTGATTAATGAAAGCTTATCAATTGAATTATGTTACTATTTATTGGTTATTATGAGATGGATATATATATATATATATATATATGTGGTGTTTATTTTGAGACATTATAACTTAGTATCCGAGCGTACTAGGTTTGAATACTTTGATACATGGGAAGTGGTTATTACCACAGCGGTTTTGTCTCGCTTGATAGAGACATTTGTATATACGGTATGCTATGTGATAACATGCTTATGTGAATATATGGGTATGAGATTTAATTTCTAGGATGTTGATTAGGTCTACAAGTTTTTAGAAATCCTATTAGAAGTGCACCTGATCGCTGTTGTTTCTAATTGGAACTCTGGCAACACCACTGGATGGTCATTATCCGGGAAGGAGATTCGTATGTGTTTATATGACTATGTGCTTATATGGAGTGAATTACTGTTGTCCACCGCATTAGGACCTGAGTGAGTTAGCTTTGGCACATTTGTAAATGTGTCAATCTCTTTTGTTACCTTTATTAGGATGTTAGGGCGTGGTCGTGGTCGTGGTAGGCGAAGTAGGCCTAGAAGGCATGAAGTGCCTTTACCGGATGAGATTGTGGCACAAGAGGAACGAGTTGGTTAGGCCGATGTAGCCGAAC